GGCCTCTTATGTCCACGCCCACTACAGCACACATGTGGGTTGCGTCTCCTGTGTCTTTGCTTCTGTGGTTTTGTGTTTGTTTGACAGACTCTGTGTGCTGACACAAAGTAACACAGCACTGCTGATCACACATATGAACACGTGGTTTTCAGGGGTCATAATTCTTGTGCTTGTCTTATTTCCACAGATTGGGCAGCTGGTGTTCAAGGGCATGAAGCGCCTGAACAGGATTCAGTCCATAGTGTTCGAGACGGCCTACAACACCAATGAGAACCTGCTGATCTGCGCTCCAACCGGTGCTGGCAAGACCAACATCGCCATGCTGACAGTCCTCCATGAAATCCGTCAGCACTTGCAGCCCGGTGGCGTCATTAAGAAAGATGAATTCAAGGTGCGATGCACACATCAGCTGCACTTATTAGTGCTGTTTATGCTGAGATGGCTGTAGTATACTGATCTGTCAAGGAAAGATGACTTTGTGATAACTGCTTCCTGTTTGTAGTGTCACTCCGGCTCGGAGCCTTTGAACGCGAGTCCCGGAGATTCAGTTTGCTCCCTGGTGAAATTTCACACAAGCCCTGCAGGGATTCAGATCACTCGCTGAGATTTCAGGCAGGGAGCTAATAGGACTGCTCTGATAGGTTGAAGTCAAGGGGAGCTGCAGTTATGGGACTTCTTTAAGATGCTTCGTTTGTTCAGTTGATGTGAACAGTTTCCATGTTGTTTAACTGCAGTAATGATGTTTCCCTGGATTGTGTTGTGAGTCTGAAAGGATCTGATGCTGAATACTAAAGCAGTCAGTCTAACGGTACCACCTCACGCTGTCACTGCTGAGAAGGAAACGAGCGAAAAGCATCAACAGACAGGAAGTGTAAGGGGCACCGCCCACCAAACCATCACTCTGACAGGTACCAAAGCAGGTTCAGGGTGTAGTTCTGACTTTGGGTCGAGTGTTCCCTTAACTCGTGTGAGAGGTGTACGTTATTACAATCAGCCAATGGCGTTTCAGGGATGGGAAACTGCAGAGTGAAGCAGTTTGACGGTGAGTTTACACCTACACCTACAGCTGTTACAGTTCACATCTAACGTGCCCACTGAGGGACTAAGTGTAACTTTGTTACATGTTACAGAGATGTGATGTTTCATGAAACAGCCTTTGTATCAAAGGTTGATGCTAAATGCTTTTTAAACATGTGCATTCACAGAAATGAGCTAATCAGCCTCATGTTCACACACCGACACGGTTTATGTATGAATGCGAGCAAAGAGAACGTCTCTGCTGTTTTCTTCAGAGGCTGAAGCTGAGCAGAGGACTGAGTGATGATTTGTTATCAGATTTGATTGGTGAATAATGATGACCTCATTATTATGAGCCCACCTGAGCAAACAATAGTGTCCTCAGATGCAGAGATCAGCTGTTTCAGATTTCCAGAATGATGGCAGAAACATAATAAAACAGTTTCACTTTAAAGGCACACGACGCTCGAGTCTCTGCAGCTCATCTGTCAGTGCTGGTTTAGAGAAGATCACGGTGGTCAAAATGACAAATAGCAACAGTTGGAAACAGACTCTGAAACACTGGCAGTGTTGACAGCTCGGTCTGAAAGCACTGGTCTCAAACCCAGTGTCAGATCCACACACACATCAATAATGCAGACGGTCTTTGTTCTGTGTGTAAAGCTCGCACAAACACAGCAGTGACAAAAGCTGCTTTTCATACATCACCATTACATTTTCTCCATGCGAGTGCTGTGACATTTCACAATAAACTGATTTGTGCTGGTAGCTGGGCAACAAATGATCCTGCCCCTCTCTGCTCGTTTATCACCACAGTGTCCTTTCAGCCCGTCTACAACCTTGCTCCGCTCTCTCTTCCCCGCTCGCACTCATGTCCACGCCGCTCTCTCTGCAGATCGTATACGTGGCTCCGATGAAAGCCTTGGCGGCTGAGATGACGAACTACTTTGGTAAGAGGCTGGAGCCCCTGGGCATCACCGTGAAGGAACTGACTGGAGACATGCAGCTGAGCAAAGGAGAGATCCTCCGAACACAGGTACACACACACG